TATATATATATATATATATATTAAATTTCAAATTTTATTTTCATTATATTTTTTATTTTCTGTATTCAATAAATAATCATTCTTATATATCTGTTTATATAATTTATGAAAACATACACACTGTATTTTTATACTGCCGGACATACTTACCAACAGTTTTAGAGACCTTTGAGTTTGTATTGATTAGAGGGGTTTAAAAGAAAAATGGAAAGCCCTTGAGCATCTATTAAGCATTAAAATGAAAGATTTTCTTTAATGGCTTCACTATGGACCACAAAAGCCTGTTAGTAATGATGGGATGTAAAGGAGACAAGAAAGACCAAATCCTGTTATTGTTGTAATATGATGTACGCATTTAAATGCCCTGATACAGAAAGACAGACATTTAGACAGGTTTTTTTTTCACTTTAGTGAAACATGTTGATTGAGTCTGAGGATAGTCTTCTTACATTAATGCAAAGCCCAATTCAAATTGTTGTCCTCCATATTGACATGTTTGGACATTTGCTGCAAAAAGACAGTACAGACAGTGACAGGCTGTCATTCACGATCAAGTCAAAGATCACACTGTCATATTATAATCAGGCCAGCTATTATTTTCATTCTGGAACAGCCACAATATGTCCATCCGTAAGGTGATTGAATTGGACAGGCGCATTTCAATCCCCTTTCACTGTATTTCCAACATTATTCTGCAGTATTTTTGGAGCAGCCATAAACATTTCAAAAACAGGTGTCCATGATGATGTTCAAAACATAAGGTATTTATTTTACTGGATTATCTTTAGGCGAACAATCCAGTGTAGATGCAGGGAAAGATATATTGAACTACCTTTAGGGGGGGATTTAGTTTTGAGCAGTTTTGTGCAGCGACTACTATCTAATCAAAGCAACATCCTGGCAACCCAGACTTATTGAGTCTATTGTTCAAAAGCAGAACAGACACTAAATCCAATTGAGACAGTTTAGAGGTCTTGAATCTGAGATAATCTTGGTTTTACAACATCATTACAGTCTCTTGTGACAGGTATAGATAGTGCTTCAGGTGTGGACAATGAGCATGTGAATTTTAAAATCTCATTAGTCCTACACAAGTGACATGAATGTCTCAGACAGGAATATTATTTGATAGTGCATGATGTACGGAATGGATAAGAAGACTTTTTTGTATCTCAATTTCCTTTTGCTTTTCTCAATGGCTTTTCTACAATCATCAAAACTATAAATTATTAACACATTTTGCGAGCAGCAATTACAATTCTACATTTATTGGTTCATTTTAAAACAAAATAAATTATTACTGGTGATTGTTTGGCAATAAAAAGACTTGAAATTTGGAGTGATGTTGTATATAGCCAACAGCCATGTTGAGATTACGAAAAAAGAAAGAAAGAAAAAGCAAAGGAAAATAATGTTGTGGGATCTGCTGGCAGGTGGGCTCACGATATTAGCAGAGTAACACATGCCATTGTTCACCATGGCACACTTTTTGAAGCTGTGTTTCTACCAAAGCTGTTTCTGCCCTCTGATTGAAGAGTGTTTCCATAACAATTCAAAGATAATAGGGCATTTTGAAGGCATTATGTTCAGTTTCTTATATAGGAAATGTACATGATGCCATTCAGGTGAAAATAGCCTTAAAACACATATTTCTGTGCCTCTATCTGTAGGATGCCAACATACACACTAATAGTTCCTATTCTGAATTTTGCAGCTCGTGTGCAGTTAGATGTATTCAAAATTACTTGTTAAACTTTTGATGTCAAATTTTATTTCAAAACTTTGGATGCCAGTGGGGAAAAACAAAACAAACAATCCAAAAAACGAAAATATTGAGGGATCCCTTTTAATATTGTCATTCCTTTTCTGTTACTTTATTAGTTGTCAGATTGTCAAAATATCTGATCTGCACTGTAAATGATTTCTGTTGTTTACACAGTATTATACTGTTTATCTCAACAGTTTCTTGCTGTATAAGCTGTGTACAGTGTGTTACTGTAGATTTTGTTGTTTTCACAGTATTATATCGTATTCTCAACAGTTGAGTACTGTGTACACGGTTGACAGTATGTTACTGTAGATTTTCAATGCATTCTGGGAAATTATCAGTTACTGTAAATCTAAATACAGCAATGATTAATTATAAATTGTTAGTTAGTCTTGCTTTAAAACAGATTTTTATTGTTATATATCATTATTGTTTACTAATGTATTGTTTAAAAATTTTAAATAAATTGTTTTTGTGCAGTTAAAGCTTCAATTGTTCTTTTTCCTATTTTTCATCAACAGTTGAAATAGCAATTTTACAGGTTTTCTACAAATTATAAAGGTTATACAGTAGCACTATAAAATAAATTAAATTAACATTTCATAACTGTATAATATTATACAGTATTATTAAAAATCAACAGTGTAATACTGTACTTTGACATGGTAAAAAAATACAGTAAAATGTTGTATTCAATTTTACAGTAAGCTAAACAGTACTGTAGTTAGTGTTACAGTAATTTTACTGTTGAATGAAATACAGCAACTACTGGATAATTGTTGCCAGTAAGTTACTGTTAATTTGACAATACATTTTTTACAGTGTGTATGTTGCGATTTTGCACCCGTTTCTGTAGTGCAAACAGGTAATAAGCTTGAATGACAATACTTCATGTTAAAAAACTGAAAGCAATTAGGAACAAGAACCTGAAAATTTGTGAATTTATATCTAAAAAAAACAAAATATTATTCAATATGCTTTCTGCTAAATATATAGTTTGGGCATGTTTTATTATTTTACAGAACGATTATTCTAATGAAATCTATTCTTTATTTTATGTCAGATATACTTTATACATTTAAATATTTTTTAAAAATTCATATATAAAACACTGAGCATATACAGTATACTGCAGCAGTATAAAGCCGGACCAAGGAGTTTTAACTAAATTGATCAAATACTTCCTCAACAAGTGTTTACATCCCTTGGATAGCATATTTAAAACAAGAAACACAAAATATCCTTTTTTAAGGATTTGGTTTTGTCTGCTGAGAGAAGCTTATATAACAAATACAAAATGATGATATACGAGGATGATATGACACACAGATCTTACTTAGTATCTGCCTTTGTGATTCTGATAAGTTTCTTCCTGCTCCAAAAGGATTCATAAATGGCCAGCACTGGTTATGAACTGTAAAGAGAGAATAACTTCATCCATCCACATGATAACCTCACGCATTAAAATCACAAGCAGAATGTCAAACACAAACATGCAATGTGACTTACAGTTACAAGTCCTCCACAGTCCAGAATGAGAGCTCAGAGACTCAGATGAGCTGTTTTCTCTCTTAGAAGTGTCAATGATGTACCAAAAATCGGTTCCAATTGCCAGAACGAGACCTACAAAGCTGAGGACACCAAAGGTGGCCACAAAACTGGCCAAACCTGTGAAAGTGATTTTCATTTTGTCTGAAAGCGGCTTTCTACAGTGTTTGAAAAGAAAGTCCTCCTTCTATAGTGCTTTAACTGTTCTTCTTTCCCTCAGCGCTGTCCTTCTGGAAGCCCCTCGCCGGATGCTTTGCTGTTTATCTGTTAACAGCTAGTGTTGGACGATTTTACCAAAAGAGGGCAGTATGGTCCACTCTCTCTCTCTCTCTCTCTCTC